GTAACTTGACGGTAATGGTAATGCTAGTGACAATAAGGAGTGGCATTAGGTGGATAACAAGGAAAATATTTCCATTAATAGATTTAATGTATGTGCATTTCCATCTATTACATTATGAAAATATATTAAATATGAATTATGTCAAACTCTCAACCTTTATGATTTAGTAACATTTAGGTTAATGATGTCCATAAACTTTTAATACTAACCATAATATACAATCACATGATATTATCTCTTATGTTGAGAATAATGGGTCCATAACTACAGCTCATATAAATTTGCAAAATTTAGATTATATCTAATGACTAGTCTAGTAAAAAACAATAGAAAGAACTCTAATATCTTACTATTAAGATTTATTTTGTGCAAGTCAATCATAATAGAATTAAGTCAAAAAAATATTATTAAGTATTGACTCATATTTAACACGTAATTGACTTAAGGTCAAATTATCAATTTAGTCTTTGAAATATGACAAATACAATTTGGTCCCTCAAGTAAAATGTCTTTGGGACCAAATTATATCATATGTTAAAATTTAGAGACTAAATTAGTAATTACTACTAACTTTATACAATAATTTAACTATTCGAGCGAATTTTATAAAAAATTTTCTCATAACAAGTATCTAAACAAATACTATAATATTTATATTCATGCTTAATGAGATCAAATACATCTTTTTGAACAGTATATTATGTACTAGGTTGCTAGGATTCATAGTGTAACGCCCAACAATTTTAGAATTTTATTGTTATTATTATTAATTTTATTTTTTATTTTATTTATTTATTTATTTTATTTATTTAGTTTATTTTAATTTAAGTTAATAAAAATAAAAACAACAATAATTGTAAAATTGGGTAAAAATATTATTTGGATTTAATTGAAATTGATTTTGGGAAAAATGGGTGAAAATTAGGATTCTGGGGGTATTTTTGAAAAGAAAATCGGAAACCGGGGGTCAAAACGCAATTTAGAAAAATTGCGCCCTGTTAGCACCACGTCAGCAGCCACGTCAACGGCCCAGTCAGCAGCCCTGGCCAACCAGGACCTGCCGCGTGGCAAGACCACGTCGACCCGGGAACGGGCCACGTGGGCGATCCGCGTGCGCGTGATCGGATGGCCCAAATGCGTCCCCGCGCGCACAGACGGCCCAGATGCACGCGCACGGACGGTCCAGATTCAATCAAGCACGGATGGCCCAGATTTAATCAAAATGGACGGCTCTGATCAAAAGCAAAAGGGTATAAATAAAACCCCCACACCTGACTACAAAAACCCTAGCCGCCTGCCCTCGCCGGAGAAGACGAACCAGACGCCGGAGAGCCGTTGCGCCACCCGCCGCCGCACCGGGAGTTTCCGATCACCGATCGAGGTAAATTTCATACCCCCAGCTCGTTTTTCAATGCTGAGTTTCCCTATGGCCAAATCAGAGCCAAAATCTCGACCAAACGGCCGGAAAACACGGCCGAAACCCAGCGGCACCGCCGCGCCCCTCCTCAGTTTCTGCCTCCGATGAGGCTCTTCCCGGCCTCCGTTTGATACAATTTTTATATCACCGTGATCACCATTCTTTTCTCTACAAGTTGATCGGAGCCAAATCACCAAAATACGAACCTCGCCGGAGAGCTGCCGCACCCGAGAGCGCCGCCGCCGGTAAGCTTCAGTTTTTCGTAATTTTTTGGCCCCCCCGAGGGCCCTAGGGTTGTTTTATCGCAGGGACCGATGCAAGTGTGGCCGAATCAGCCGGAAATGGCCGAAAATGGCCAACCCGAAGGGTGAATCGCCGTCGCCAGAACACGGCGGAGCCGCTGTGCTGGAATTGCGATATTGAATGAAATGGGCCCTAGGTCTAATTTGGGATTTTTGGACACGTGCAGGTACCAGTAGTGCGTTTCAGTTCTCCGGGAAAAATTCAGAGAAAATTAGGGACAGCCAGTAGGCGCACTGAAGAGCCGTATTCGGACCCCGAACAAAGTAAGGATTCCTCACCCTATTTCCTATCACGGTATTAAAGTGCAATAAATGATAAAATGGTATTTCATGAATCAATAACTGTGTGAAATTGTTTGAGGTTGCTAATGGAGCCCGAGTCTGGTGTATTTATCGGTCAGTTGTTGTTTGTTCTATTTTACAGTTTTAAATGCAGTATGATGTCTGATGTTTTTATTTCATAGTTTCGTGTGCATGTATCACTGTTTTATTGATTATAGACTGAATGACTGAGAACCCGGTGTTGTGTGTTGTCTTGTTGGCGTAAACTACCAGTTTGCATGTTTGTGTGTGATTTGATGATGCTGACTGAGAAAAAAGGGGGATGAAAGGTTATGTAAATTGATAATTATATAATGTGGTCAGCCTGACTAGATATCTTGGGAGATGGTGGACGGACCGGGTCTGTAGGGAACCCTACCGGGACTGTGGTCTCTCATACCGTACGGGGTATGGAGACCTTATGTGTTTTGGCGTCCATACCGGACAGGGTATGGGGACGGCCCGTTTCACCCTCATACTGGACGGGGTATTGAGGTTTATAGTTTTGGCGCCCATACCGGACGGGGTATGGGGACGACCCTGGAATCTGATTACAAGTGTTAAGGGTTCACGAGTAGCGGGACCCCTATGGATCCCTATGAATACTAGTAGGCTGGTAAATGAAGAAAAATATGTTGTGTAATGATTGAATTGCAAAAGGCGTGATAAGTATTATGTTATACAGCTCATATGATTTCATGATGATGATAATGTTATTGCTTTCGTATATTGTTTTATGAATTTCACCGAGGTAAGTGGATAGTAAAGAATTTTATTATTGATAAAAGAATTTGTTGTAAATTATACTCCACTGGTCTTTTTATGTTTTCTACCCACCTTTACCTCCGTGACGGTGAGATAGTGTAATCTCTTTACTGGGCTGGTGTAGCTCATTCCTTATTTAATCATTTCAGATCAGGAAGACATTGTTTCCGAGCCCGTTCCGCAGGAAGACGGCGAAGGGGACGCCTAAAGACTCCGTAGTTATATTTATAGCTTTTACTTTCGAGTTTCTCTTTTAGTTAGTTTGTTCTTTTATACTTTGAGCACGTTTTTGGTTTTAGTGTAAGGGATGTTAATCGAAATTTTTAATTTGCTTCCGCATTTGACCTTTTTAATACACATATTTCATTTTAAATTTCCGGATCCGTTACACATAGTATCCAAATCATATTAATCATTTGATGGCAAACTTTATGAATTGTGTTTAAGTCTCATTCTTATAATATTATTGTCGTTTCATTTGTTTTCAACATAATTGAGAGGTTTGCAACAATATGATGACATTGTGTAGCTTCATATTATTTATGAAATAATCATTATAATATTTTTAAAAATTAATTATTACATTAATATTCTTGATATAAATTATATAATTGACTGCGAGATATTATTATCAACATGTGTAGTAACCATAAAACATTATTAATTAGTAAAACATTTATTTTATTAGTAATTGTTTACTTTACATATTCATTATAAGATTATAAAAGTGTTTAGTGTATATCGTTCCACTCGATCTTTTAGCGTTTATGTGACCTTGATAGTTCTACTGTGAGAAAGCCTCTATGCAATGTATAGACTCCTGTAATCATAACATATTTGTTTCCTTGTTAAACATAAAAAAATAAAAAAACTTGAATTCATTTATAAAAGAAAGAGGAATTGTTAATTCCACAAAAAGAAAGAAGGGTTTTTCACAAGATCCATTGAATGTGTTTTTTTTTATATATTGAATGTTTTTTTGTTTAAAAATTTAATAGAATTGTTCAAACTTAATAGGCTCACCCGTAAACCTAATAATAAGCATGCAAATACCGAATACTTTTTTTTTATCTTTTTATTGTGTACAATTTTGAAAAAAGAAGACAACAAATTTTTTTATATATAAATAAAAGATTACTCATGTTTTTAACTCAATATAAGTATATTATAAAAAAAAAAAAGTTAGACTCATTGAGATTTAACTCAATTTGATTATTAAAATTTCTTCAACATACTAACGAGTTTTTTTATAATATATATATATATATATATATTATAATTAATGTATATTCTTGCACACTTTTATTATGGCTTTTTCCATCATAACTCCAAGTTATTTTTTTAGTTGAAATAATGTGCATATCTATTTTTCATCATTTGACAGTTATGTGAAAAAATATATATAATTTATCCAATCCAAACAACATATTAGAGCATTCTGTTTTCCGAAAAACTCAGCATAAGATTCAAAAAACAGATATTGAAAAAAATTGTAAGATAAAATTATCTTATGGCTATAAGTGAATTTCTGTTCATTAAATGGTAGAAAACATATTAAACTGACATTAACTCGTATTAAGCTATGATTTAATATTTATTAATTTTTTATAAGAATTAAATTATTATTTGTAAAAATGAACAATTAGCTTGAAATTAAACGACCCTTAAGAACCTTTATTTACTCTTATCTTTATAAAATAATTTTAGACAAATGAAATATAAAATTATTAAAAACCTGTTAAATATAAATCTTAATACACAGCTATAAATCCTATCCGTAACAGAAGTAGGGCAATAAACTCATCCTTTTTTTTTTTTTTTTTTGGGCATAAGAAGGTATAGCAATGATTCGTGGCCGGTAATTTCTACATACTATTAGGATGAGTTGGCGGGTAAAAGGCTTCTGTGCTCATTTCTACATGCAATTCTCCTCTATGAACAAATCTGTGCCATGAACATTCAATTTAAACTTCTAGACTACAATTGTCTTTAACCTACTATAGTTCCATATCAAATTCTTTGATGATGAGAACGCAATAATTTCCAAGTACCAAGGAAGCAATTCAATAGAAAATTGATTTACCATCCTCAACAAATTCAAATTAGATGAAAACGTTAACTCTGAATGAATAACAAAAATTATGATTTTAATACGAGAACTAAAATCATAAATTGACTAAAAAATAAATGCAAACTGAACTAATCACAAGTGAAATCTATTTGATCCCTCATCAAACTTTTGCTCAGGCGATTACATGTTCCAAAGAATTTATCATGCTTGCATCACCCAAACATCACCTGTATCTGTAAATTGTGGAGGATATGAAAGGATAATGGCAATAAACCGATGAAACAGGATCCATCAGTCAGTTTATGGAATTATTCACACTTTTCTTAAGGTGAATACATGTCTACTGCTTAAAACAAGAGATTACTTATTCATGATAATAGATGGAAAATTTTCAGATTTTAGAGCTCTCCCAAAAGTGGATCTGAAAGAAATTACTCAGTCTTGGCAGGTTGCCAAGGTTGGTATCTTGTCCAGTCTCTTTGCCCTGGATTGAGTGCATGCCCTTTGGAATGGTAGATAAACTCATCACCCTCTCCAGAGAAATTCTCCTTGTGTTCTACCCCGTACCTCTTTGGTTTCAGCATCAGAAGCTTCAACAAATGCATTTCCTTTAACATGCACTCTCCCCACATCATAAATTCTCACAAATTTAACTTAAAAAAATGACTTACCTCGTCCCCCGTGTGATCAGTCATGTGATGGAGCCAACCATGCCATTCTGGTGGGACCTGAGATGCATTGTACCGACCCTTCTCTGCGTATTCAACCCACCTGTGCCTTCCTACAAAATGAAAGATAGCATAAATAAGTGAATCTAGCATGCCAAAAAATTCTAAAAACTTTAAATCAACTATATCTTCAATAATGCACATAGAGTGTCATTTTTTCTCCCATGGAAGCAACAATCAAATTAGTGGCATCAGAGACAAAGCCCCAAGTTTGCTTTTGTGTGAAAACTGGAAACCACCAAGGCGGGACCATTTGGACCCATGCTTGCAGTAAAAGAGCCAAATTAATGCAAGCACGCTCAAGAATGTGCTATTGTGAAAAATAAGTCTATCAGTTATCAGTGTCGGAGTTAAAAGTGTCATAACAATGAATTCAAATGAAATACAAAATAGTACAGTGTGTGGTAAAATTTTAGAAATTGCTGCTGATATAAACTTACTATTATAATATATAATTGGTTAATCATGCTACAGAATTAGAAATAAATATTGAAATGAAAAAATATTCTCAATAATCAAAAATAGATAACACAAGTAATTTAAGAATTTTTCTTAAAAAACACCATAATTTAAATAAACCTTAAAAAGCTTAATTTAGTTTAATTGTTTGATTCATTTTATTTAATATAAATATTAAGTTTAATTCTTAAATATTTATCTTTAATTTAAAACTATTTAAATAAAATATGATAATACTAAACCATTTAATAATAAATTAATATTACTTTTCATTTCAAAAGGTTTTAATTAATAAATTATAAATAATGAAATTCATAAATTACCATCAAAGACATTATCACATGTTAAGCAACAAATTATATCTCAAAAACATCTATGTGAAGCCTTTAACAGTACCTTTTGATAAAGGTAAAGATAGTCTTTCTTTTTACTTGAAAGCACTTAGACATAGGTGTTTGGCTAAATTTTGCATTCTTAGAAGAAGTATAAATCAGAAACCTAACCATACAGGCACTATAAAGGGGTTTGCATGTTCTGTCCTGTAGTACGGTAAATATAGCAGTATTTTTTTTCTCTTTAATTATGATAGAAATGCTTAATATTTGTTATCGATGAGTTAAATCAATAGAAAACGTGCTTGCTCTTGAATATGTAGATATTTGTCCGAGCTCTTAAACTCTAATGTACCTCTTACCAATATTCATCAAAAGAACATTCTATTAGAAAAAAAAAGAAGAATCCAACGAGGAACAGCGAGGGGGAATAGTCCAAATGAAAAGAAAATAAAAGATAGATTTTACAAGTTAGTGAATATGTCAATG